AACCCTTAACCCAAAACCCAACCAGTGGGTGCCCTGCGATTGGTCCCATCCCATGGCGCTCCAAACCTATGAAAATACAGCATGCGGCGCCCTTTCGGCCGTCCGTGGGGCCGCAAACCATATGGAAATACAGCATGCGGCGTCCTTCGGCTGGCGCACGTCCCAGGTGCTCCCAAGCGCTCCCAAGCGCTCCCAGGCGCTCCGATAAGCGCTCCCAGGCGCTCCCAAGCGCTCCCAGGCGCTCCCAGGCACTCCCAAGCGTCCCCAGGCGCTTCCCAGCGCTCCCAAGCGTTCCCCCGCGCTCCCAAGCGCTCCCCGGCGATTTCGGCATGCTCCCAATCCCAAGCGCTCCCAAGCGGTCCCAGGCGGCGCCCCCAGGCGCTTTCAAGCGCTCCCAGGCGCATGGCGCTCCCAGGCGCTTTCAAGCGCTCCCGGCACGCTCCCAGGCGCTCCCAGGGCGGTTTCTGGCGCTCCCAAGCGCTTCCAGGTGCTCCCAAGCGCTCCCTGCACGCTCCCAAGCGCTCCCAGCCTGCTCAGGCGCTCCCTGCGCGCTCCCAAGCGCTCCCTGGCGCTTCCGAGCGCTCCGGGGCGCTCCGAAGCACTCCCAGGCGCTCCGGCGCGCTCCCAGGCGCTCCTGGCACGCTCCCAGCAAGCTCCCAAGCGCTCCCAGGCGTTCCCATGCGCTCCCAAGCTCCCGCAGCTGCTCCCAAGCGCTCCCCGGCGCTCCCAAACGCGTTTAAGCAGTCCAAGCGGTCCCATGGCGCTCCCAAGCGTTTTCATGCATTCGCAAGCACTCGGCAGCGCTCCCTGGCGGCGCTCCCCGGCGCTCCCCCGGCAATGCAGGTGCTGCCGCAAGCCATGCGCGCGCATCGTAGCGAGGGGTGCCAGACCCACCCCCTCGCGCTCCCTCTCCAGCCATGCCTCATTCGCGCCGAAGGCGGCTGCGTCGACAATGCAATCGCTTCAGCGGGGGCGACGCCAACGGTCCTGCCCCATGGACAATCCACGGCCCGCACTCGCGGTGCACTCTGCGTGTCCTGTCACGCTCCCAGACGCTCCCACGTGCTTCCATCCTGGGGAAACCTCGAGGCGCTTTCTCAGCGCTGCCGCAAACCTCTCCCAAGGCATTCCAAGAGGTCTGCCATGGAGGTGCTGCAGCAGCCGCAGCGATTGGTTCTCTCCCCTGGGGCTCCAAACTTATGAAAATACAGCATGCGGCGCCCTTTCGGCCGTCCGTGGGGCCGCAAACCATATGAAAATACAGCATGCGGCGTCCTTTCGGCTGGCGCACGTCCCAGGCGCTCCCAAGCGCTCCCAGGCGCTCCCAGAAGCGCTCCCAGGCGCTCCGATAAGCGCTCCCAGGCGCCCCCAGGCGCTCCCAAGCGCTCCCAGGCGCTCCCAGGCGCTCCCAAGCGTTCCCAGGCGCTCCCCAGCGCTCCCAAGCGTTCCCGGGCGCTCCCAAGCGCTCCCCGGCGCTTTCGGCACGCTCCCAAGCGCTCCCAGACGCATGACGCTCCAAAGCGCTCTCAGGCTCTCCCGGCACGCTCCCAGGCGCTCCCAGGCGCTCCCTGGCGCTCCCAAGCGCTCCCAGGTACTCCGAAGCGTTCCCTGCACGCTCCCAGGCGCTCCCAGCCTGCTCAGGCGTCCCTGCGCGCTCCCAAGCGCTCTCTGGCGCCTCCGAGCGCTCCGGGGCGCTCCGAAGCACTCCCAGGCGCTCCGGCGCGCTCCCAGGCGCTCCTGGCACGCTCCCAGCACGCTCCCAAGCGTCCCCAGGCGTTCCCATGCGCTCCCAAGCTCCCGCACGCAGGTGGAGCGCGCTTAAGCAGTCCAAACGGTCCCATGGCGCTCCCAAGCGTTTTCATGCATTCGCAAGCACTCGGCAGCGCTCCCTGGCGGCGCTTCCCGGCGCTCCCCCGCAATGCAGGTGATGCCGCAGCCATGCGCTCGTAGCGAGGGGGTGCCAGACCCACCCTCGCGCCCCCCCTCCAGCCATGCGACATTCGCGCCGAAGGCGGCTGCGTCGACAATGCAATCGCTTCAGCGGGGGCGACGCCAACGGTCCTGCCCCATGGACAACCCACGGCCCGCACTCGCGGTGCATTCTTTGTGTCCCGTCACGCTCCCAGACGCTCCCACGTGCTTCCATCCTGGGGAAACCTCAAGGCGCTCTCTCAACCCTTCCAGAGAGCTCTCCCAAGGCATTCCAAGAGCATCCAGGTGCTGCAGCAGCCATGGAGGTGCTGCAGCAGCCATGCACGCGCATCGTAGCGAGGGGGTGCCAGACCCACCCCTCGCGCTCCCCCTTCCAGCCATGCCAAATTCGCGCCGAAGGCGGCTGCGTCGACAATGCAATCGCTCCAGCGGGGGCGACGCCAACGGTCCTGGCCCAGCGGGCAATTCACGGCTCGCGCTCGCGGTGCACTCTGCGTGTCCTGTCGCGCTCCCAGACGCTCCCACGTGCTTCCATATTGGGGAAACCTCGAGGCGCTTTCTCAGCGCTCCCAGAGAGCTCCCCCAAGGCATTCCAGGGGGTCTGCCATGGACGTGCTGCCGCAGCCATGCGCGCACATCGTAGCGAGGGGGTGCCAGACCCACCCCCTCGCGCTCCTCCTCCCGCCTTCCGAAACTCGCGTCGACAGCGCCTGCGTCGATGTTTGCAATCGCTTCAGCGGGGGCGACCTCGAAGCAAAACCCAAAGCCGCGGGTGAATACAACTGCCGTGCGCGTCGCCGTCAGCGAAGAGCTCGACGGCGCGGCTACTCGCTCGAGGCCATCGGGAGCCCATGGGATTGCCGCGCCAGCGCCATTGCAGTGCTGCTTCCGACGCCGAAGGCACATGCGGAGCCCTGTGGATGTGCTGCGCCAGCGGCAGCCGTCTACGACGGCGGCTGCAAGGGCAACCAGGCCAACGGCAAAAGCCAATGCAGGAGGCCTACTGGAACCAGGGGCCATGCTGCGTCTGCGACAGGCCAACGCCGTATCTCAAAACCTCATGCGGCGACGCCTGGCCTTGAGGCCTCTCCTGTGGCTTCTGATTGCAATGAACACCCGCCGGAGAAGAATCCGTCCTTCGGCAAAGCCATGCGCCAACTGGGAGCCAGCCGAATGCAGCTAAACCCACGGCAAACATTGTTGGCCATGCGACGACGCTGGCTCTTGCGCCCGCGCAAAGCGTCTTGCGCGCGTACCAAAAACGCAACGCCAAAACCGCGTCGTCGTGCTCCCCGCGGAATATTCGCATTCGCACACAACACGAAAGCCCCCCTTGATAGGGGGGCTGGGGGGAGAAACCCTAAACCCTAAAGGGCTTTACTGTGGGTGGTCTGGGGCGGGAGTGCAAGTTCATAGCGCGCGCGGCTTGGGCAGCGATCCCCCCCAACAATCTCGATGTGGGGGGGATCGCAGCCAGCGCGCGCATGCGCCCATGCAGGCCCTGAACCCTAAACCCTAAACCCTAAACCAACCCTAAACCCTAAACCCTAACCCTAACCCTAACCCTAACCCTCACCCTCACCCTCACCCTCACCCAAACCCAAACCCAAACCCAAACCCAAACCCAAACCCAAACCCAAACCCAAAGCCGAACCCTAATCCTAACCCTAACCCTAACCCTAACCCTAACCCTAACCCTAACCCCAGCCCCAGCCCCAGCCCTAACCCTAACCTTAAATCCTAACCCTAACCCTAACCCTAACCCTAACCCGAACCCTACCCCTAACCCTAACCCTAACCCTAACCCTAACCCTAACCCTAACCCTTAACCTTGACCCTAACCCTAACCCTAACCCTAACCCTAACCCTAAACCCTAACCCTAACCCTAACGACGACGACGACGACAACCCCAACCCTAACCCTAAACCGTGCGCACCTTGGCTTGGTGCGCGCGAGCTGACGCGCGTGACGCTGGAAGGTCACGGACGTCACTGTCAGCGGACGCTGGTGCTGATGGGGCCGCTGAAGCTGAGGTGTCAACCTCCTAGGATATTAACCCCAAACCCTCGGCGACGGGTCCCTCGCGACCTTAGGGTTCCAGAGGACCCCGCGCGTCAAGGCTAAGGTTAGCGTCGGCGAGCGTCCTTGGCGACCCTTGTCATGAAGCGTAAACTTGTTTCTGGCACAGGAAAATCATGCGGGGCAGGCCCGCTGTCGCTCACCTCCCCCCCTCTCCTCTGCTCGCGCGCCTCGGTGCCTGCATGGCGGGCGTGCGGTCCTCGGCGCCGGCCCGCTTGTTCTGGAGCGGCGGAAGTATTTCTCGGCGCGGCACCTGTGTCACCAGGTCCTGCGTCGCGCCTCTCGGCCCTGCTCGTCCGTGAGGCCGTGGGGTCCTGGCAAAGCGTGACCGCGGTCGTCTTCTGCTCGGCCCGGCCTTCTGACCGCAGGGAACGTGTGGGCCAGTTTCCCTGTGAGAAGCCGCGCGCAGGGTCACTGCCTTCTCGCGGGCAAACCCAGGGTCCCTGCCTTCTCGCGGGCACACCCAGAATCCCCGCCTTCTGGTTCTGCCTTTCGCGGGCAAGTTCAGGGTCCCTGCCTTCTCGCGGGCGCGCCCAGAGTCCCTGCCTTCTCCCGGACAGACTCGGGCCGCACTTCTCCCGGGCTCTGCCGGGTTCCGTGTGGCATGCTGCGTGCAGGGTCACTTCGCTGCCCTCTCGCGGGCAAACCTAGTGGGGTCTTGCCTTCTCGCGAGCGCACCCAAAAGTCCCTGCCTTCCCGCGGGAGGCTTTATTACTTTCGGGTCGCTGCCTTCTCGCGGGCTTTACCTCGTGCGACGGCGCGTAGGTTCGCTGCCTTCTCGCGGGCGGCAAACCCAGGCCTGTCGAGCTACGCTCGCCGGCCCTTGTCGCGGGAGGATCGGGCTTCCAGGCTTCTTTCTCTCAGGTCGCCACCTCCCGCGACGCGCCCGGGGCGCGCGCTCCTCGTTCGTCTCCCCATTGCGCGTCTTTTGGCGGAGACAGCAGGTAGCATTTCCCCGGCACATTTCGAAGACCCTCACACGAGGGAAATGATCAAGGCATCCATCCCCGTCAATTCCACCCCGTATGCCAGTGAGGATGGTGAGAAGTGGCGCGCGTGGAAGATTGTGCCCGCGCAAGTTGTGTTTGCGTTGAAGATACAGGGAAAGCGCGCGCAGTTGGCAGCACCCGCGCCGTCGGCGCCAGTGCAGGTAGTCCACGCGCCCAACGAGTTCACTGGCATGGCTGAAGCAGTCAAACAGTTCGCAGAACTGCAGTCTCAGGTGTTGCAGAAGGGGAAACCCAAGCGGTTGAGTTTCAAACTGCAGGATCGCAAACTAGAGCTGGGATTGCAGAACTTCTCCACCGACACGCTCCCGTCAGAAGAAGTCCTCGCCAAATTCGAAGCTGCAGCGAAAGTGGCGCACGACAAGGGTCGGACGTGGATCGGATCGGCTGAAGGCGAAGATCTTCGCGATCATCACCGGCCCGCGTGGAGCCGCACTCCGGCGATCGACGCTGTCGTCGGAGATGGCTCTTACGAGGATCGGGTCAAGCAGAGCGCGGCCGCCAAAAGGAGCGGCGCGTGGGTGAAAAAGGTTGATTACATCGGTTTCGCCACCTTCATGGGGCACCTGCACGAGTGGGGCTTCAAGGTGATTCTGTTCTGACCAAAGCATGCAGCACGGCAGATTTCCTCGCTTATGCCCACAGCATCATTCGTATTGCGGAGGAGCACGGATGAGTTCGAACTGCCTACCAATATGACGTGCTCCAACGGAGGGCTATGGCCAGGGCTTTGGAAAGAAACGAGGCGGATTTGACGCCGTCACCAAGATCGACCGCGACGTCCTGCAGGACGCGAAGGACAAGGTGGAGAAACATTTTGCAGAGATCGCCCGGGCCTCAGCCCCCAAGGACCAGGCCAAGGGCCAGCCCAAAGGATCGCTGAAAGACTTCGACGATAACGCCGCGTCCCCCAGCAGCAAGGGCGGCAAGGGTGGCAAAAAGAACAGGGATGGTGCGGACGCCTCTGAGCGGCGTGTCAAATCTCCGACCAAACGCCCGAGGGGCAGCGCTGACAGCGGGCAGCAGACCAGATCTCGGAGCCCTCGCGCTGCCAGCCAGCAGCACAACTCCTGGGGGAACAAGTGGTGAGTGGTTCCAGAACCACTCGGTGATAGCGTAGACTCAGAAAGCGAGTCTCAGGGGGATGCCTGTGCTCCTCCACGTACGTGTAAAAGTGCACGGGCGCCCCAGATTGCCCCCTTGGGCGAGATCCAGAAGGCCCTCTCTCAGTTTAACAACCGCGAAGATGTGCGCCGCCTCGGTCCGTGCGACCACTTGCAATGGGCGCTTTGCTTGCCCGCGGTCGACGAAACGTCGCCTGTGCCAGCAGTTTTGAGCGACCACCTTCCGCGAGTGGCTTCCATGCCGATTGCGGAACTGCAGACTGTGCGGCAGTCGGCTCTTGCTTTCTGGCAGCAGCGGAAGCTGGTGACCGACCCACAGTAGCAAACTATGTTTAAAAGTTTGCCCGCACACTGTCAGAGTGTGCTGGGGCCAGGGAAGAACCTTTTGCTGCTGCAGGAAATACTCGAGGCCATACGCTGGCCAGACGCCGCGCTGATACGCAATATCTGCCACGGCTTTCCGTTGGTGAGGCGATTGCCTGCCAGCGGCATCCACAAATTAGCAGCCGTGTCTCTGGGAACCAGCCGAGACATTGCAGTCACTTTTAAGCTGTCCGCGTGGACGGAATGAGGCTATCCTGAGCAGAATCGCCGCGGAAAAGAACGGCGACGCCAGGGTTCGCGCTCAAATTTTGCAAACCTGCGCAAAGGAAGTTGATGAAGGCAAGGCCCGTCTTCGAGCCTTGAACATGGACACTTGTGTTTTAACGGCCCGTTTCCCAATCGTCCAGGGGGCGAAAGACGGTGCGCCCAAAATTCGCTGCATAGATGACTTCACCGCCTCTTTAGTGAATCGCGCGGTTGTACATAGCGAGAGGACTGCGCCAGACACACTTGACTCTTTGGTAACACTCGTGCGCCACGCATCTGCTGGCCATTCTCGTGTCGCCCTGCGGTGGAGAAAAGACGATTTCAGGCATCCTTTCAAGACTCTGCCAATTTGTAGCAGCCATTTGCCTCTGGCAGTGACGGCGTGGCCAGAAGCAGCCGCTGAGGGCCACGCGATGCAATTGCTTTGCTTGCCGTTTGGCTCGTCTGCCTCTGTGTCTGGATGGGACCGCTTCGGCTCGGCGGTGCAGGGCGTCCTCGCTGCGTTGTTTCACTTGTTGTATTTGCGCTTTGTCGACGACATGTTCGCAGGCGATTCCGCCACAGGCGTGCCTGCGGACGATGAAGATTCACTTGTTGGCC